CTGACAGCCCGCTGGGCAGCAAGTAGCTGCCAGTGACGATTACGGGGGCGGCAACTAACGGATGGAAGGCCGCCACGAGATCACTGCGGTGGAAGGGGCAGTGACACCGGGCAGGGACTGTGCGCTTAGCCAACCTGACCCGTGGGTATGATGAGCGATAAGCCATCCAGTCCCAAAAGAAGACGTCTCAACGAACGAGAGGAGGAGAGGATTCCTCTAAAAGAACGTCGTTGAAGTGACGAGAGTTCTAAGTCACAAGATGGACGTAAGAACGAACGATATGGCAGGGTGTGTGATAAACCATCCTTGGCCCAGAAGACGAAGAGCAAGTATGAGAAGACCGTCAGAGGGATCAGGGCAGGATGTGCGATGAGCCAACCTGACCCTGGAGTTGCAGTCGTTTTTTTTTTTTTGCTGTTTTTTTTTTGCACCCGAAGTTGGTAGGGAGTGTAACGTGCCTATTTTGAGGGGGGGTCAAACTAGCCTACTCCTAGGTCTAGCCTATCCCTAGGCATAGCCTACCAGCCCTAACTAAGGTTATAGGTTAGAAGGCTAACCTTAGTTATAACATCTTCAGTAAAGTATAGGCATGATACACTGTTGTGTCTGGTAATGAATAAGTGTAGAACGAGAGTTATTAATACTGTATGAGCGTGGCATAAACCTTATACAGTGTTTTATAGCTTATTGACTCACCAGCGATGTGTTTCGCAAGCTAGGGCTCAACCCGGCTTAGTACTTTGAAGAAACTTTCTACACTTAGTAAACCCGCAGATCATGGCCTTAGGCCAATAATCCGCCTCAAAGACGTGAGGAAATGCGGTGTGAGTAATATAAACTGACAACTTGAAGTTAAAACTCATTGTCGTGTGAAACAAGCACAACATAACCTACAGTCAACAACAACAAGCTCGAGCGACTGACGACGGCTGCAGACGACGGCGGCCGGCTAGCTTTTTTTCGGGTTAGCAAACAGCAAGCAAACGTTCCGGATCAGCTGAGCCCCCTACTTTGCTAGAGAGGGGAGCGAGAGGGATGAACCGAGGAACCCTCAGACGGCAAGCAGGAAAGTGAGTTCCTCACTAGCCACGAGATAGGAAAGTTCCTCACCAGCAACTACCACGACAAGTTCGAGTTAGTCCCGACATCGTGATTGGTGAAGCATTAGTTAACTCGCGTGATACTGCAAGTCAAATTTGTGGAAAAGTACGTCACATAGTTTGTTAATCACAAACACTCTATGTTCGTAACACTCAGAGTTACACATTAACCACTCTTCATATTTCTTAAAAACATTCACATAGTGTAGTGCGAGTGATGTGTCACCACAGCTGATCGAGAGTAGTTTTTGTTTTTGCTCAGCTCATTGTCTTTCATTCTGGATATTGTTGTAGTGACAGCGACGCATTGTATACTCTCTCCACTACTCCACTCTCCCGCCCCCTCACGGCCACACAGCTATCGTCTGATCGTAGCAGGAGGAGCTGAGCGCTGAGCGGTCGACTGCTCAGTACAGTACTCATCTACTCGTCTGCGCATGCGTCGAGACTGTTTCTAACCTTTACAGATAGATCGCACCACAAGCTAGCGCTGTTCTAGCGCTCCTAGCCAACAAATTGCTGGCGACAGGTCCACTATGGCTATGGGATGTCTTCTGAGGTATATATAGTCAATGACGTCGGTTACGATCGGATTTGACCTTGAATAAACTACGCAATCGTTTCTGTTCGTGGCATGGCAACAAAACTTTTTATCTTGACACTCCCACTTTGACGTTTTATCTCGGTGTTCATTTCGAGAATGGTTTTAATACGGAGTATTTGATTCAGCACATTTAGGGGTTTTGGCTGAATTATTAATAATGATTTTGAGAATTCATGGTCCAATGGCGAAATTCACGCATAATTCACACACTTTTTCATGGTCACCTAAATTCACGCATAATTCACGCTTTTCAAGGTTTTCATGGCTGGTGGCAACCCTGACCTAGGAACCTGAAACTTGGCAGGCATCTTCCTTTTGGGTAGTAGACGCTCACTAAGAAATGATTTTACCCTCCGACCTCTGGGCTCCGCCCCAGTGGCTCTGGAGTTTCCCATGTTAACCTTATGAGTACTCATATTTAAATGGAATTAATGAATCTTAACAGCTGTTTCAATTAAACAAGTTGGTTCTGTTCTATGACGTTCAATAGCATTAAAGTTACAAGGATTACCAACAGGGTGCAGCACTATTATTTCTTTTACATTTATGACAACAGCTAATTTGCAACCAAAAGGTGAGTGAGCGTAGCGAACGAACTTCAACTTGGAGGCAAGTTAGCGTAGCTAACAAGCTAACCTGAAGGCAAGTGAGCGCAGCGAATGAGCTCTAACCTAAAAGTGAGTGAGCGTAGCGAACAAACTTTAACCAAAAAGTCAGGAATTATTAAGGAAATTGACAGGAAAGCAGGCTTACCTTTAAATAAGTCCATAGAGACACATAACACATCACAAAATTTCTACTTTTAATTTTGTGATGTGTTATGTGTCTCTATGGACTTATTTAAAGGTAAGCCTGCTTTCCTGTCAATTTCCTTAATAATTCCTGGCAAATGCCCTATCTTTTTATAAGATAACCAAAAAGTCAGTTGGCATAGGGAACGAACTTCAACCAGGACGTCAGGACGTGTTAAACGTTAAAGTTAAACGGGGCAAAGCCCGCGGGTTACGGCTAGTATTTTTAGCGAATTTCCCTATAGGGAAGTAGCTATTACCGTAGGTGGCACGGTAAGACCTAGACCCTTGACCGATTTACTTTTTCATTTTGATGTCCCCAGAGGCCAAAAACGATATTCGTTCAAATTTTTATACGTCCGTGAACGCGATAACTTGAGTAATTTTTTTTCGATTTTGATGAAATTTGGTTTTAAGGTGTAAGGAAGTATAAACTTGAATGAGTTCGCGAACCAGCATGATCGGACCATGGGAACAGTGTTTTACGGGGACTTTTATGGGGTAAAAAATGGTTTTTCTCATTTTTGACCCTCAAACCACAAAATTTCTCAATTTCTCTCTAGACCTTATTAAAGAGCTTAAAAAAGCAAATAATTTAGTATATAAAAGTATTTTTGTGTTTTTGTACGGTTTTTGGTAATGGAGAAAACTCCAAAAATTGTAAATTTAAAATTCCCATGTTATTCTTATGGAGAATATTGTAAAATGATGTAGTTTGCTTGTTTATTGATATATTTGGATTAAACTTGGCCAATTTATTTATTTTATACTAAGCTATTAATATTTTACCAAAAAACTCGCTTAATTAGTTTTCTTGTAGCAGCAAACCTAGGTACTTGTTAAACCTAATGTTATTTAAATCAGTTCAGACAAATGGAAATTCGCTTAGTCGGTAGGAATGCTGCGGCGGGGGTATTATAGTTTTAGTTTATTTTAGTCTTTTATAACTCCTTAGTCTTAAGGTATTTGTATTTTGACAATGTCACCTGTTTTATAGCATTGCTATGTTATGTAAACTAGAGATGGACGGGTCCCGAAATTTCGGGAAATTTTCGGGAAATAAAAAAATATTCCCGATTATCAGGATGGGATTACGTTAGATTCGGGAATTTTTCGGGACGGGATTTGATCCGATCGTTGGCGGTTTTACCCCTTAGCGAGTGACGATGACGCCGCTATCACGAGAGATGTTCACGATAGTTCCGCGAACGCAGGAGGTGAAGTCATTTCGACGATCGCGTCGTGACCGCGGCGTCATACCGACGATCATGCCGTGACCGCGGAGTCATACCGACGATCATGCCGTGGCCGCGGAGTCATACCGACGATCATGCCGTGGCCGCGGAGTCATACCGACGATCATGCCGTGGCCGCGGAGTCATACCGACGATCACGAAGTTACCGCGGAGTTATACCGACGATGACGCCGTGACCGCACAGTCATTTCGACGATCGCGTTATCATGACCGCGGAGTCACACCGACGATCCCGCAGAAACCGTGAGTCATACCAAAGATTGCGCCGTGACCGCGGAGTCGTAACCACGGAGTCATACCGACGATTGCGAAGTAACTGCAGAGTCATACCGACGATCATCCCGTGACCGCGGAGTCATACCTACGATCGCGAAGTTACCGCAGAGTTATCCCGTCCCGACAATTAGGAAGAAAGTAAAAATCCCGTCCCGAACAAAAAATTCAATCCTGTTCATCCCTATTTTTAAACGTTATACGTGACAATAAAGATTTATTTGTTTAGTAGGCTTAAACTCTTCAAATTTTACAGTAGGGTGAGAAAAAAAGTAACTTGATCGTTTTAAAGTCAATGGATGAGCTGAGTAATTTAAACTCCATCTATAATTATAATTAAAATAATGTATGTTTTCTATCTAAATTATCCATAATACGGAATTTTTTGTTGGTTACTTAAGTTGTTTTTCATTTGAATAAACTTTCTGTTAATTTTGGAAACTGTTAATTTTTTTTTTCCTAAAAGAAAACAAAATAATCAGAGACTAAAACCATTGACTATTGGATACTGAAGTTATATTGATAGTCAAAGCTAAAACACTACTTTTGACTACATTTACTTGTAATTGCTTATTGTTATATAGGTATAAATTATCAGTTTTATAATAGGTTGGTTTATCTGGCCAAACCGTTATCCAGCCATAGGCTTGGTCGATATGAGTGGTTCTACTGTAATTGTATTGTATTGTGTATAACCCAAATCTGTCAAAAATGATTTTGCAATAGTTAAAATTTGTTAGATAATGGTTTGTTTTAAAAAGCAGAAACCGAGAGTGCTGTTGGCTGCTACACATATGTTATGACACCAAATATTGGCTGTGTCGTAAGACACCAAATAAACTTTAGGTGAAAATCATGATTCCTTAAACACTTTTGCTTGCAGAGTTAGGGCACAGAATATGGAGGCCATACTAATTGTCAGATAACTAATCATAAATTTTAAATGAACTCCTTCTTTGGTCCAGTTGCAACTTACCATAACTGCATATGACTTTACTGGCTTCCCTAAACAGCAAGATGCCGTTGGGCGAGGAAGCATCAAACTGTAACCTCTGAGATCTGTTCTGTACAAGTTCAGCAAACAGTTTGAGGACTGGAGTGGTGACTTGAGGTTCTCTGTACCACAGTTCCATGGCATGCAGCAGGATAGGGGTGTAGGAGGGGTATCTAGTCAATGGTCAAGGCTAATGTCCACTCAAATAATTAGATTGAGGTCAGTGCTACTAAATTGTTATATATGTTTTTTCATAGACAAAGTTTCTTCAAACTACAATCAACTTGGATTTGAATACATACTTACTTGATTACTTGAAGGCTTCGTCTCTGACCGGAATCCCAGATAGACTGTGTCAAACTATTTTAAAAACTGAACGGCAGCGAGTTAAATAAGTGGCTCATCATCTGATTCTTTGAACGAGTAGATAGGCCTACTTTGAAGTTTTTCCTGTTCTGAGGTTTTAAATCCAGCCTATAACTCTATAAGTCTGCAAATATGTAGTTTTTTTAAACTTTCCTATAGCTTAGTATTTTATTTATTGTAAAACTAGTGCCTTTTTACAGCATACATATATTTTGACAAGTTGAGTTCATGATTACACTTCCTCTGTCAGTAAATAGATAAATCCCCAATAAATATTGTTAACTACGAGGAAGCATACTATAGTAATATATACACTTTGGTTAATCAGTATAGTTAAAGGATACATCCAGTCAAACAACATCATGTAGGATGATTTAGTGTTGAATGCAAACGCCAAGCCTCTCAGGTCCCTGGCCAGACCTATCAGTGCTTTCTTGGCTTCTTCTGCAGCAAATAGGGGAGTCTCCGCTGAGGCCAGCATTGTTCCTATTGACTCAAAAGCAGCTGAAAAAATTTAAATGCACAACATCACTTATGATACTTATTTTGATATCTCAATAATTGGAATCAAATTGATTTTCAGCACAAATTCTTGATATTACTGATTCCAGCATTGTTCCTATTGACTTAAAAGCAGCTGAAAAAATTAAATGCACATCACTTAGGATACTTATTTTAAGATTTCACTACAGTAGACTCCCTCTTATCCGCATACCTTTTAACTGGACATCAGTTTATCAGTTTAATCGGACTAGATCGGCAGAATGTGGACGGTACTGAAACGACTGTTCTCATGGGAAAGATTTGAGACCAGTGATCACCCATCTAAATACGTAATAATCATTATTGGCTTATACAGTATGCATTTAAACGGTCCGTTTAAACGAGTTTTTGGGGACGTCGGTTTAACCGGAAAAACCTTTATCCGGACTGGCCTCGGTCCCAAGGAGTCCAGATAAGAAGGAGTCTACTGTAATTGGAATCAAATTGATTTTTTAGCACAAATTCTTGATATCACTGATTGTTATCAGAAATATTATTTATCGATATAATAAAATCCAGTATTCATTTTTCCTTTCAAAAGTAATATTATTGGTAAAATAATTGGCAAAAATATTGATGAAGGGCAACAAGTGGTCTAAGGCTAGTGTCCATAGAGTAGACGAGGTTTAAGCAAATTTTCTTATAAAGAAGAAGCTATTAGACCAATTTTCTTTTTTCATTTTAATGTTAACAGAGGCCAAAAACACAATACGTTATTTATATGTCTGCAAAAATGATAACTCAAACAATTTGTGTCTGATTTAAAAGAAACTTGGCATGAATATGTAGAGCTGGATAAACATGATTGAGTTCCCGAACCAGCAAGATCGGGTCATGGGATCAGGGTGTTATAAGGATTTCAAAAATTGGTTTTAGCAAATTTTTACCCTTAAAACATGAAAATGTATTTCATTACAGCCATTTCATTAGAGCTTACAAAAATGAACAATTTTGCACATTGAAGTGTTGCTGTTCAATTCAAGGTTACGGAGAAAATTCCATAAAATTATGCATTTAAAATTCTAATATTTTAATGGAGAAAAAGAAAACTGTTGTAGTTTGCTTGTTTATGGATATATTTTGATTAAATGAGGAAGATTTACTGATTTCATCCTATACTATACTATTAATATTTGAACCAAAAAATACATTTTGCTTTCCTTGTAGCAGCTAATTGCTCGTTAAATTTAGTTTGAATTAGATAGGGAATAAATATGATTTATTTATGGAAATATTTTAATAGAAATCCAATGAAACTAATTGAAATTTGCTTAGCCTGCAGGTTTGATATAGCGGGAGTATTTAGCAGGCCGTCTATGGGTCTTAAACTTCTTGGGAGTCCCACACTACAGGATAGCCACTTGTGTGCAAAAACGTATTCCCCCTCTCCCTAATTAAAAGAATTAGTTTTACCATCTATCAAGTGTGTGATATTTGTGATAACATCGACAATAATATTCAGTTTGTTTATTTATGTTCAACTAGCTAGGGCATCTTAAGGACAAGATTTTCAAAGTATTCTTTAAACATAATTTCTAAAAAACAATAATATTATAAAAAATGAAACAGAATAAGCCTACCTGTTAGGGGCATCATGAATGTGTCGAACCTGTCCTCGTCCTCTCCTAAGTCCACCATCAATAGACGTCCCAATGATGTGTAGAACATGGAGCGACACCTCATCTCACTGACAGCAACACTCGGACCCAGGAATGGGAAATGTTCACTCTGAAACACAACTTCATTACAGGCCTTTGTTGACCCAGGGAAGGAAATGTTCGATCTGAAACACAACTTCATTTCATGCCTTTGTTGACCCAGGGAAGAAAATGTTCAATATGAAACAAAACTTCATTACAGACCTTTGTTGACCCAAGGAAGAAAATGTTCAACATGAAAAACAACTTCATTACAGGCCTTTGTTGACCCAGGGAAGAAAATGTTCAATCTGAAACACAACTTCATTACAGACCTTTGTTTACCCAGGGAAGAAAATGTTCAATCTGAAACACAACTTCATTAAATGCCTTTGTTTACTCAGGGAAGAAAATGTTCAATATGAAACAAAACTGCATTACAGACCTTTGTTGACCCAGGGAAGAAAATGTTCAATCTGAAACACAACTTCATTACAGACCTTTGTTTACCCAGGGAAGGAAATGTTCAATCTGAAACACAACTTCATTACAGACCTTTGTTGACCCAGGGAAGAAAATGTTCAATCTGAAACACAACTTCATAAAATGCCTTTGTTTACCCAGGGAAGAAAATGTTCAATATGAAACAAAACTTCATTACAGACCTTTGTTGACCCAGGGAAGAAAATGTTCAATCTGAAACACAACTTCATTACAGACCTTTGTTTACCCAGGGAAGGAAATGTTCAATCTGAAACACAACTTCATTACAGACCTTTGTTGACCCAGGGAAGAAAATGTTCAATCTGAAACACAACTTCATAAAATGCCTTTGTTTACCCAGGGAAGAAAATGTTCAATATGAAACAAAACTTCATTACAGACCTTTGTTGACCCAGAGAAGAAAATGTTCAATCTGAAACACAACTTCATTACAGGCCTTTGTTGACCCAGGGAAGAAAATGTTCAATCTGAGACACAACTTCATTACAGACCTTTGTTGACCCAGGGAAGAAAATGTTCAATCTGAAAAACAACTTCATTACAGGCCTTTGTTGACCCAGGGAAGAAAATGTTCAATCTGAAACACAACTTCATTACAGACCTTTGTTGACCCAGGGAAGAAAATGTTCAATCTGAAACACAACTTCATTACAGGCCTTTGTTGACCCAGGGAAGAAAATGTTCACTCTGAAACACAACTTCATTACATGACTTTGTTTACCCAGGGAAGAATCAAGAATCAAAGATCTAAAGTTGGCATAAATCAAGACATCAAGAACCTGGTTCAGTCAAGAATTACTACCCTTTAACACAATCTCTTGCTTTATTCTGGAAAGAAAAGTTTTCAGACGTAAACACAATCTTTGTACTGGACTTTGTTGTACTTAGGAAAAAAAAATAAACTTGTTATAAACATGTAATTTACAACCATACTAATAAAAAATTACAAATAATGTAGCCTACACAACACACCTTGTCAGACAAACCTTGGCTTGTATGATTTTCCTATGGTTTGTTTTATCTTGCAATTCTCTAGATTTTAAACTAGTAACAACAGTTTGAACTGTAATATTAATAAAAACACAGCAAGATATCTTGCAGTTACAAGTTAAAGTAATTTATATTTAAACTTCATTTGACATAGCAACTTTGCAAAGTATTTAAAAAGTAAATTTAGAACTAACTAGTGTACATGTTGCTTGAATTCGAGCAATTGCAAAGTATTACAGGAGTTATTTCAAAACAAATAACAGTCATATTTACAATGAGTTTAAGAGTCAACTCAAAGATTACCGGTGTGTAACTCAGGCCATGTTATCTTCGTTATTGATAGACCTTAAGCATTCCGGCCGGTTTTCTCCTTATCAAAATGCCTCGCTGTACAGGCAACACAGGTCATTGTTAGAGGGCCAATTGAGAGCGAAAAGTCGTTTTGTGGTAGTGTTACCGTGCATTTGTAACCTAATAGTTGAGATTGTCCAGGGTCAGGTGCTGACTGTGATGAGTTAAGCCTATTACGCGCCACTGTTCTGTAGCTGCGGTCGTTATCAAGATTACGCCTCCTGTCGTATGTTTCGTTGTCGTCGCGTCGGAGGTATTAAAAGAAAAATAAACGGTATCAGCATTCTGACACATACTTTCTCCCATAAGTTTGTCAACAACCTTTATCATGTGTAAGCGGTGAGAGTAAATATACGAAAAAGGAATTTTTACAATTTTCTTCAGAATTTAAAGGACTATAACATACTAAATTTTTATTAAAATCGTTCGGGCCATTTTTGGGAAAATCCTATTTTTCCGTTATTTTATGGGGTTTTATGGGAAAATCGTCATTAAAAATAAAAATGTATAAAAAATGAAAAAAAAAAACTATCAAAATTGTAAGGACCTTAACATACTATGTTAAATCAAACCCGGATTTTTGTCTAAGATCCTATTTTTTTTTATTTTATGGGAAAATAACATAATTTACCATAACTTTTGAACCGTAATTTTTACAGAAATGGGATTTGTACAATTTTTTTCAGAATTTAAAGGGCTACAACATACTAGTTTTTGAGAAAATTCGATTTTTCCGGTTTTTTTATGGGTTTTTATGGGAAAATCCCCAATAAAAATCAAAATTTCAAAAAAATGAAAAAACGCCTGGAGATACCATGGATTAAACTTTTGTTTTGTGATGTGTCTGATGATGCCAGCATAGCTGGCGAAAGGCCTCATAAAAATTAAAAATTCAGATATATTGGCGAAGTTATTATTTCAAATTAGTATAAATTATAGCTACACAAAACAACGATAAATACACAAATTTAAGTTACAATCATCTTAACATGATCCGTCATAGCGACACAAAACAACGATAAATACACAAATTTAAGATACAACCATACTAACACGATCCGTCTTGGGGGTTATGTTTACACAAACTCAAATAGTAAATAAATGTACTCAATGCGTTTCATTGAATTGAAAAATAAATAACAGCAATTTAATTATACAGCTGATCAAAATGTAAACAATTATGTTCTTGACATGGGAACTTTCAAAGCCACTGGGACAGAGCCCAAGGGACTTTTCAAAAATGTAAGGCCAGTTTGCAAATCTAAGTGACACGCTCTTTCCAATGAGACGTCAATGGATAAAATCGGTTAAGAAATGGCGGAGGAGTTCAACCGACAAAGTTTCATGTAGCGTATTAATTATATAGATGTGTACTAAAGCTACAAGTGAATGTACCGTATGGTTGTTGAGCATGAACTGCACCTCCTCCAACTTGACTAGTTTACGCACACAACTGTAGCCGACAGACAAGTCATTGAGCAGCTGTAGAGTCTTGGAGATGATTTGCTCACTACGTCCCCAGTACTTGAGGTTGGTAATGCTGCAAACAGACAGCAAATCATCATCTGAGAATAGATATGTTTGTAGGAATGCTTCAAATGCGTCAATTTGAGTAAATGTAATACAAACAATAGTATTACGGAATGCGGATATTACAACTAAAGTAGAAATAAAACTTGTTAAACACTATTTTGAATTTTTTTTAATTCATAGAAACTTTTAGACAAGAAATTGTGGCTTTCAGTAGGGATACACCCCAAAGCAGAACAACGAGCGACGCTGCGACATTGTCGCGGACACGAAACGCCGAGAAACGCGGGCCTGCGGACACATTTACGGAGTCATAACGACGATCGCGCCGTGGCCGCGATTATTGAACCGACGATCGCACCGTGACCGCGAGTCATAACGACAATCGGGCTGTGACCGCGGAGTCATACCGACAGTCACGCCGTGACCGCGGAGTCATAACGACGATCGCGCCGTGACCGCGAAGTCCTACCGACGATCACGCTGTGACCACGAGTCATACCGACGATCACGCCGTGACCGCGAGTCATACCGAGGATCGCGCCGTGACCGCGGAGTCCTACCGACGATCGCGCCGTGACCGCGGAGTCCTACCGACGATCGAGCCGTGACCGCGAGTCATACCGACGATCGCGCCGTGACCGCGAGTCATGACGACGATCGCACCGTGACCGTGGAGTCATACCGACGATAACCCCGTGACCGCGGAGTCCTACCGACGATCGCGCCGTGACCGCAGAGTCCTACCGACGATCGCGCCGTGACCGCGGAGTCATACTGACGATCATGCCGTGATGGCGGAGTCATGCTGACGATCGAGCCGTGACCGCGAGTCATACCGACGATCGCGCCGTGACCGCGAGTCATGACGACGATCGCACCGTGACCGTGGAGTCATACCGACGATAACCCCGTGACCGCGGAGTCATACCGACGATCGCGCCGTGACCGTGAGTTCTACAGACGATCACCCCGTGACCCGCGAGTCACAAGTTTCTATAGGTACCTGTAAATTGTTACCCATTTTTTGGTTTTTATAGATCAGTGCCACAAATGGTAAAAATTGATTTCGTATGTCTTTTTTGGTAACTGCAATACAGTACTTTTTTTATGCACAGAAAAAAATCCTGTCCCATCCCGTCCCGAAAATCGGGAAGGAAATAAAAATCCCGTCCCGAACTAAAATTTCAATCCCGTCCATCCCTAGTGTGTTTATACAGGGTGAGTTTTAAATGAGTTCCCCCCCTACTTTTTTCTACATTTCTTAAGGTATCAACTCCGAACCACGTCAGATCATTGTACAGTAGTAAGTACTTCATTTTGACTGGGTTTAAATTTTTGGCTGCCATCTTGGATCCGCCATATTGGATACAAAGTTATTTGTTCAAATGTAAAGGTAGGGTTGTGACCCACCGTTTCAAACTACATTTTTACGCTGAATACGATGCTGCAATTCGTTTAAAAAAATGTTGATCCATTCTAAAGTTATGAGAACTTTTTTATAACTTTATTTTTAGCCCATTATAACATTGTGCATTTACAAACTAAGGCCATAATCTCAAAATAGTGCTAGATAGAGATAAGTGGACACCACCATTCATTGTTGACCTATTTTCACTTGGTTATGACGGATGTATTTTTTTCAGCCGCCATCTTGGATCCGCCATTTTGAAATGTGATAAATTATTTTAAATATGAAGGTGGTGTTGTGACCCATCATTTTGAACTAATTTTGTATGCTGAATTCAATGCCGCAATCTGTTTTTCAGTGTCATATTTGGTTTTTTAAATATTGACATTTTAAATAAAATAATTGTAATATTTTATCAAGAAAGCTTGATAACAACAAACGGATTGCGGCATTAAGTTAAAAAAATTAAGTTAAAAAATTGCAGCATAAAAAATTAGTTCAAAACGATGGGTCACAACATCACCTTCATATTTAAAATAATTTATCACATTTCAAAATGGCGGATCCAAGATGGCGGCTGAAAAAAATACATCCGTCATAACCAAGTGAAAATAGGTCAACAATGAATGGTGATGTCCACTTATCTTTATCTAGCACTATTTTGAGATTATGGCCTTAGTTTGTAAATGCACAATGTTATAATGGGCTAAAAATAAAGTTATAAAAAGTTCTCATAACTTTAAAAAGGATCAATATTTGTAAAAACGGATTGCAGCATCGTATTCAGCGTAAAATTCTAGTTTGAAATAATGGGTCACAACCCTACCTTTACATTTGAAAAAATAACTTTGTATCCAATATGGCGGCCAAAAATTTAAACCTAGTCAAAATGAAGTACTTACTACTGTACAATGATCTGACGTGGTTCGGAGTTGATACCTTAAGAAATGTAGAAAAAAGTAGGGGGAGAACTCATTTAAAATTCACCCTGTAAAAAGAAACTATAGTACATTTAAAGTTTTACTTCTGAAGACCTTGTTAACACTTGTTAAGGTATGTGTATATATATACGTATTTAAAAAAAAAGTAAATTTAAATAACCTGATTATGCCTACCCCTTAATAGTTTTTTAGTTTTTTGTTTTAAAAGTAGGCTATACAAGTTATTGAAATTGACTTATTTTATTTAACTATATTACTAGTAGCCCTAAAGAGTGAATATATATATATATATACCGGTATATAAGTCATTATTTAGCTTTTTAGTTTTAGCGCTTGCGGACACATTTTGAGGTTTTCACAGGCCGTTGCAGACACGTAGGAACCATTCTGCTTTGGGGGGGATACAATTAAATATGACAATAAAATCATGTTTGATTTAATAGCATACCTATTTATCAAAACAAAACAGATCCTAAACACCACAAACAAAGATCGGCGTTCACTTAACACCTTTTAGATTGCAATCACTCCATGAGTGATATTAAGAACGGCTTGGAAATTTTACATTATTAGATGAAAGTTGATAAATTGGACATGTTTGAGGAGTAAGAGATATACAAAATAAACAAAGACAAAGAATACATTCTCAAGAATAGATTACAGTTTAAGTCCAACTCCCTCTTCAACAGGTTTTCTGATCTCGAACAGCTGACCACCGAGCTGATAACAGAGAAGGACGGGACGAAGTTACAAAACCCCTGTCCAGTCTACCTACAACCGCCCCGTGTCATGATAGTGCTATCAAGTTTCATGTGTTTAAATGTAGTGGGTGCACTTTGTCAACTGTAAATAATTGAAATGTTTACATAATTTGAACTACTGATGGATGGAAGCCTAAAAATCACAGTATTTTTTACTCTGAAAATCAGATTTTCAGCCTAAATTCTCAACTTAGGGCCAATATCTAAATTTCATGTTTACAATTTGTTTCCACGTCTAAATACAGAAACTTGATATAAGTATATCACCATGCTTCTCTACGTATATTATTAATTATATCTAAAGAACTAAACACAGTAAGTTGTCCCCAATCTTGTCTTTAGGAAGTAAATAAAGGGTGTAAATTATAAATTTGTAGAATACATCTTACTTCTCAAGAAGGGGAAGTACACTACAATAATATTGTAATATTAAGATTTTTTACTGACATGGTGTAAATGTTGATCACTTACATTTTTCTTATGAATACGCTCAGAACCATGGACTCATCTATCAGGCCTAATACTTCCGACATTCTTCTGTATACCTTGGAATTTTTTTGGACCTGAAACATACAATCCTTCTCCAATATACTTATAACAGTCTGTAAAGTCAGTTGCAAAAGAAAATAATGCAACAACTATTATAGAAACAATTGTTCAAAAATAATACATAAGACCTAAAACTTGAAAATCTGTGAAAATTTTATAAATTTTAACAACTATTGAAATACATAATGAAAAATATTGATTTAAAGAACAATAGAGAGGCAGACCAAACAAAACAAGAATTACTTTAATCATAACTAATTTGTGAAACTTAATTTTTGTACCGTACCGTACTTGAATTTAACTTGAATAACAACTAACTAAGCTATATTTATATATTTTACCTCGGATAGTATTGTACTCAGCATAATAATATAGAACTTATATTATTCACTTTAAAATGGTACCGGATGACAGTAAAAAAGCTACAAAAGTTATCTTATCTCTCCCCTCACATCTTTCATGCATATTTGAGTCTAACTATTGCCTGCTTGCTTCCTCATCTGTCAAATTTTAATAATCTTTTGATCACATTTTTGAAAACCGGTCTACTTGAATGGAATTTTAAACCAGACTTTATAACAAGGTATAACTTACATTGAAACACAGTCGCTAGTGTTATTATTTGTGAATGTTCTAAAAGTTTGTGCTGTTAAACACGTTGTGACCGTAAGAAAAACAACAAACATACCTGAGGGACTTTGTCAAGTGTAGAGAAAGAGTTTACAAATTACAAAATGCCAATTTACAAGTCCCTCAGGCGACGAAAAATTGTGTACACAGTGTATTGTCTACATGTTCTATGGCCTACCTAACCTACACTTTCAAAGGTAAGCTAGCTGCTATCCTCCTTTTTCTACAATTCAAAATCCTGGCCTAGAGCTTTTCCTTCAACAATAATAATAACTAGTGGTCGTCCAGTGGTCTAAAACTCGACCAAAAACATGTAATGTACACGTATTGACTATTGGATACTGAAGTAGACATCCCATCTATATGGACCAGCTGCCACCATATTTTTATTAAAAAATATGTAGTTGTGTGAGCCAGTCACTGAAAGCGTGTCTTAAATTGATTTTCTACCTTATTTTTTTGTTGCTGACAAAGTTTATGGGTCTTGACAGTTGCTGTAGCTCATAATAAGTCATTCAAAAAGTTTGAGTTGGTGAAAAACATCGTGTATTCAACAGAAATTAGTCATTTGATCAGCGCAGTCTGTTGGTGGCTCACATCAACTATGACGAATTTAATTAAAAAACTGGTGACAACTTTAACATTGGGATGGATGTAAAGGTACAGGCTTCTTTATTTTCACCTGTGCTGTAAATAAAACATATGATTGTTAATTTCTTCCATTTGTTTTGATTTTCTGTTTATATTTCGTTGTTATTTCGTCACCAGCATGGCAACCCATAAAGCCCATGTAAATTTTTTTGAAATTTCAAATTCATTTTTTGTGCTTATATTTGAGCCTATTTGAATTTTTAAAGGGATTCTGCACTTCTACAGGAAAATCTTTCTAACGGTATGCGTAGATTTTTTTCCTAACGGTATGCACACGAGCTGAGAAAAAAGGTTTTAAAGAAACATGCTTGCCTATTAATATATAGATAGTAATTGTTTGACCATCCATTACCAAAATATAAGTTATCTTATAACCATATATTCTACTAGATAGTTGGAATGTTACCTGATCTCCAACGTATATTTTGCGGAACTGTTCAAAGAAACTCAGCATCGCTAACTCAAGTTTCTCGCAACCACCTTGGGAGAGTCTGGAGTCTGTTAGATTCATCAGCTGCAATACTCTGAAACAAATCCCACCTTTCACTTACACTGAGTCCAATAATGATGACTGTCTGCAAGGTAAAATACCTGTTTGTGTCATCTTTATAGACGGTGCTGCTTATTTATAAGCACTTTATTGTTTTAATAACTATAACAAATGGACAAAGCAAACAAAAAGGTTAAATCCCCTCTATGACCATGTTAAATGGTAACACTAAACGGTATGAGTCAACAACAGTCTTATCGATGCAAAAAAAAAAAACTAAATTATGAAAGTAATGTGATATTTAAAAATCTATTATATTATTAATGTGATACAATCAAATTTTAGGTAAACGGTTAATGCCATTTACCAAATAAAAATATTGGCATATGGCACATCTAAATGATGCTTAAGAGTGTGTAGATTTGCCGAAAAGTATTGATATGGACGATTTCCTAAGGGCTCTGCCCCACAGGCTGATTTCCAAAGGGCTACGCCTGGCATGCTTCCTAAGTTTACATGATTTAATTTAAAAGTTAATGAAACAGCTGGTCAGTACAAAGAACTGGTGTTTGTTTATTTACTCGAAAAAGACATTTGTGACGCTTTATGTAGATTTTGGAGGGTTATGTTTGGTTTTAAAGAAAGTTTGTATACGTTCTGTAAAGAATTGCTCAAGACAAAGTTTCATTTTGTAATTTATATAGTAAGCTACATGTAAAAAAGAGGCTTGACTAAAGTTGAAGAATTATGGTAAAACATGTCATTTGTGAAGCATCAATATGAAGCAATTGATGCTATTGCTACACTAAGTTATGTTGTCATATTCTTTTGGATCGACTAACATAAAAAGTAAGGGTTTGAAAGTAAGCAGGTTTACACTTTAAATCAGTTTATATTTTCAAACTAAATCATAAAGTTGCTGTATTTTAAAACGCACATCAGAATTACTTTAATAGCTCTCTAGGTCACATTTTATTCCCATTGCAAAGCACGGGTATAGCAGCTTGTATATAATTATTAGAGTAAATGTATGGGTTTTTCTAGCTTCAGGGTGTCTACTTTATTTCCATTATAAAATTCAAGACTAATTCTAGACTTTTCAAGACTAATTCCAGATTTTTCAAGACCAGTTTTTTCAACAATTAGTGGGTGTTGATACCAAAATGTATCGATTCTCGATTCTTGATACCGATACCAATTTTTATAGCTTAACAAAATTTTCTGAATAATACTACACCAACCCCTGTCTTTGTCATAAAGTAGAATTATGATAATGTGGTGTTTTCAAGTAAAAAAATAATGCAGCAATAAAAATTCTAACTAGCAAATTTGGTTTTTTTTTACATGAAATCTTCCACGTACCGTACGTTAAGACATCATCATTGACTGCAGCGGTTACAGAAACGTGATCGTCGTCATCCGCGATCATGGCAAAATCATGAACATTTCTCGCGGCCTTGTAGACATCAATACTGTTAATACTGTTCTATAAAATGGCGACCATACAAAGTAGGTATTTTAAGCCAAGTATAAATGGAGATGAGTGTAGGATGAGTGGCACAATCTTGTAGTCTTGTTAGTGACTAAGGACGACATTCCTTAGACACAGCTGTTAATTAATAGCCCATACAGCTAATGGCAACTATGGGACCTACAGTTTATAGTGGAATCCGAACCACATTTTTGCCTTGGTAATTACGAATTGGTCTAATAAGGATTATAAGGATTATGATTATAAGGATGGTACTGCGGATAGTTGTAGTACTCACCCGTGCGGACGTTAATCCACACTGGGGAGTATCGCATCCACAGTGCATGCCTATAAATATCCACAATTCGTGACCTCCTAGTAGCTGGATTACAGCAATGACATCATCGTCGTCTCCCGCGGTCTCAGAAACGTCATCGTCATGGTCATCTACCGCAATCGCGACAAAATCATGATTATTTCCCGCAGCCGAGCAGATATCATCGTCAGTCTCCCGCGGTCACGGAAACGTCATCGTTGTGGTCCGCGATCGCGGCAAAATCATGAACATTTCCTGCGGCTGTTTAGACATCACCGTCATCTCCTGCGGTCACCGAAACGTTATCGTCGTCGTCCGCAATCACGGCAAAATCATGAACATTTCCCGCGGCCGTGTTAACATCATCGTCGTCTCCCGCGGTCACGGAAACGTCATCGTCATCTCCCGCGACCACGGAAACGTCATCGTCATCTCCCGCGACCACGGAAACGTCATCGTCATCTCCCGCGACCACGGAAACGTCATCGTCGTCGTCCGCGATCACGACAAAATCATGAACATTTCCCGTGGCTGAGCAGATATCATCGTCGTCTCCCGCGGTCACGGAAACGTCATCGTCGTCGTCCGCGATCGTGGAAAAATCATGAACATTTCCCGCGGCTGTTTAGACATCACCGTTTTCTCCCGCGATCACGGAAACGTTATCGTTGTCGTCCGCGATCACGGCAAAATCATAAACATTTACCGCGGCCGTGTAGACATCATTGTCGTCTCCCGCGGTCACAGAAACCTCATCGTCGTCTCCCGCGGTCACAGAAACGTCATCGTAATCTCCCGCGGTCACGGAAATGTCTTCGTAATCTCCCGCAGTCACGGAAACGTCATTGTCATCTCCTGCGGTCATGGAAACGTCATCGTCATCTCTCGTGGTCACGGAAACGTTATCGTCATCTCCCGTGGTCACGGTAACGTCATCGTCGTCTCCCGCTGTCACAGAAACGTCATCGTCGTCTCTCGTGGTTTCGGAAACGTCATCGTCGTCGTCCACTATCGCGGCAAAATCGTTCACATTTCCGAGGCCGTGTAGACATCATCATCATTGGCTTTCGCGGTTACGCATGATTACGGTTACATGAAAATTCCCGACTTTGAAATAAAATTTAAGACTAAATCCCGACTTTTCAAGACCATTTTGAAATTCAAAACTAATTCCCGACTTTCCCGACTACTAGACACCCTGTAGCTTTGACAGATAAGGATAAAAAATAATAATCAAATTAGTAGGGGAATAATAATGCTGTTTTAATTTTTAAAACAGGAAAAGTTATATAGTCCATTTTGATTAAAAGTGTTATCACAATAGTAAGAATATACATTTTCACTAGAATTGGTTTTATATATTTTATAACAAGAAAACAAACAAAAGACTGGCTATTAAAAAAAATCTGTTGACAAAACTCACCTACAGACAAGTTCCCCGTCCATAGCATCATGTTCATCATTGCTGTTGAATGATACTCTACCACCAATAGCGGATCCAATAATGTAGACAAGCCAAGTTAGTCGACCTGTAAAATAAAATAGTTAGAAAAGTAATAAGAGATCACTCTGATAAATGCAATCATATAGATGTTGCAGAAAGTCAGCGCTGGTTACGTTGTCTGTATTTGATAGTGTTGGCGTGTCTTCTCGGGACTTATTCACGACACAACCATATATTTTTCAGTTTTAGATGTTGGCAAACCCTATTATATCCAAACTTTGATAAAGTCGTCAGCTAGATTTATGATTGTTTAGCTCCCCAGCTGACAAACCTTATTTCACTATCCTGATTTCACTATCAGTGTCATGTAACTTGTTTACTTTGTTGTTGTTTTTATTGTGTGAAGTAATAATAGATAATTATAAGTAAAGATAATCTGCGTACTTCTGAAACTGATCGTTTCCTGAACAGTGATGATGAACTTGATTGTGAATAGTGATGTCAGTGAGGAAGACAAAATCGCGAAAACACTACACCGATTTACTACCGTTGGATACAAATAACGATGAAGAAAGTAGGCCTAGTGGTGATGAATTTGATTTAAAATTAGTGATGATTGGATTGAGGATGTTGGTGTATCTTCAAACAATGAGGGAAGTTCTAGGCCTACTCTAACTGCTTCAGGTAGGCTATCCCCAAAATGACCTACGGTAAGGTCTAAGACAATTTGTTATATGTTATTACTTATAAAAGTAAACAACTTGTGATATTTCTACGTAGGGAATCAATTGAGCTTTATGATAATAGTGTCATTTGGTGTCTGGATTAATCTTGAAATTTGTAAATTAAGTTTACTCTTAAAAAATTATTTCTAAAATTTTTATTTTCTATCATTTTTTATTTTTTTTTATTTTATACTTTGATTATCCAATCAGCTCTTTTATTGTAGACAATTTTACTGTGAACAAAATTGTGAAGGTTTGCTTTCTATACTAATTAGAGTAGTCTACAAATTCTGTAAAATTAATTGCCGACAGAGGGTGCTCCAGGTAGTGCATAAATTCCATCCCCAATGGGTTGATTCTTTAAATATAAATAGTGCTTTAATCGTTTCATAATTTTTTGTTTTGACATCGCAAATGATGAGAGTTTTGTTAAGTGAAAGCAGTGTGAGACATGTTTTACTACTGTAAACATAGCCATGAAACAAGTCACTCCAAAATCATTATAAAAATAACACAAGACTGAAAATTGTTTATTGATACTTAACTAGTAAGACTGATGTTTTAGACTAATAAATTTGGTATTTTTCAAAGTTTAACTATATCCTAACTGATATCACCATGTTTCCTATGTCTAAGTTATTTTTAATAATGTAGGCCTAATTAATACATTTGTATATACTGATGTTATTTATTGATGTTTTTTAATAACATAATTCAAATATTCTAGCTTATTATTATTATTTTGGTCATAAATCAGGAGACATTTTAACAAGGTTACAAAATGAGGTCAAAACATCGAACGTGTATTTTCCATTAAGCATAAGAAGGGAAATTCTGTCTCAAACTTGTCTTGAAATTTTATGAGAAATAAAAAAATCCTGTCTCTTCTCAAACTAAAAATCCAATCTCTTCCATCCCTATTATCTCCAAAGTCAATCTTACAGATTTTTGATTGCTTCTGTTTTTCATTCTGATTTTGAACAGTTTATGTTTGCACTTTGTTGTTAAGATGATGGTGAGAGTTTGATATACATTACTATCACCTTCTTGTATAGTGATGTCCAGCTGGTTGGGAGCTGGTGATGACATGAGCTCCTGGTATATCCTAGCTGCTTGGTCAAACAGTTGCACCAGCAGAGTGCAGGTCTTCTGGTACTCACAGCGGCCAATGACAGACAACTGCTCTAGCTGCTGCTGGACCATACCAAGGTCATCCAGGGGATCTTCTAGGTTCTCTCTGCGAACAGTAATGTCTTTTAGTGATGGGGTTCTGGCCATGGCAACATTCATTTATCTGACGAATGAAGATACAAAAAATATTCATACCCAGCAGTAGCTGATAATGATAGTTTAAAGTAATTTTAAAGATTTTTAACGAGACCTAGCTGTCAAAACCGTCAAATGTTGAATACTTGGTCCCAGGAAAAGAATTAGCTGGTCATAGGGACAAAACTAAGTTTCATCATTGACTTATATAGATATTGAAGAAGACATCCCAGATCAGTTGTAGGCTATTTTATATTAACATACCCTTGCCGCAGTAAACCTGCAGAGTAGGGATGTGTTGAATCCAAATCTCGAATCCACAGAATCCTAAGAAAAGATTTGGATTCGAGATTCGATTAACGAGATTCGAGAATCTAATCTCGGGTCTGCTGACAGAATACACATACTCGCCACAAGCTCTATAACAACGTGTAGCAGCAGTATCGATCTACGCACAGCTGGAACAAAGCCAAACTCGGTCTAAAAACTCAAGACCATGGCTTGAATTACATCCTAGTCTAATATTAAGTGTATTTTAAATAGGGATGGGCCAATAACAGAATTTCACGAAATGAAATATTATTCACCACTCTCGATACCAATTCCATTAAAAACTCATGTGTTTAAGGAAGTTGCCATGGTCAATGTTTTTTGTTTGTTTGCATTCTGAATCAGACAACAGGTGTAGCTCATGCCGGCCCAAAATTATCGTGCACTCTGTTATTTATCGTATCCGTCTGATAAGTAAATGGAATCAGGGAACCGCTCTTGCTTTTTACAAAACGAAATAGTCGTAGACTGAAAACATCCAAATGGAGGTAGCACTGGCACAGCAACTCTACTAGAAATTTGAGACGCTGTAAATTGTTATTATGTTGGTACTACTAGAAAAATCAACGAGCTCATTGGCTGTTGGCTTAATTGCAATCCCACAATCCCCTAGTCCCAAAGTACTATTCCCCGAGTACATATGGGGGCTAACGTCTCAATTCTTGCATTCAGTGCTACCTTCGGTTGTGGGTTGTAGCTTTAGTTCAGTGCGAGCATTCAAACAACTATTGCCCCCATTGCTGGTGTCATCAACTTAACCTTGATCATAATAATTTTTGTCTGCGTTCATGTAGTAACCTACCATGTGAGTAATATATTTAATAACTTTTTTACAACTGCATAATTTAGAATTCTATACCAAAAAACCTTCATATGCAGGCTTAAAATTTCTTCAAAAATTACCGATTTCACTTAAAAAAGAAAATAATACAGATTCAAAAGCCTACTAAAAGACTTGTTGATAAGAAACCCATTTTATTCCATCAAAGAATTTTTAAATTGTAATCTCGAAACGACCATTTGAATTCCAGATACTACCTATAGTCTGATTTTTACCGGAGTGCGGCTGGAGCTCAGCCCTACCTGCGAGGGACCCGACTCACGCACGCACACTCACCACCGTCCTAATTGCCTGAAAGCCCCGATCCCCTATTCACTAATTAGAAATATAACATCTGTTGTATGATACCTCAAAATTGCAATTCATTTGATGTTAGATATACAGTAAACTGGTTAGTGTTGATAAATTTGTTGTTTAATTCAATGAAAAATGAGTCCAAACACGAAATGATTATGACAAGTAGCTACCTAATAAAAAAGTGTTAAAATATTCGTAGCTTTTACACTTTGTAAGCAAAATATATATTGTTTGGTATCATTGTACTAAGCATTTTGAGCTGAAGTCAAAAGCGTTACCAGATTTTATAACAAACGTAAAATTAAAAAAAAATGATAGTTAAATTTCCGTGAGCCACCGATGACTCGAGTGGCAGGACAATGGTCCGTCCCACGTCCGTCCTAATCCCTTGCGTCTGTGTGTGTGAGGCCTGCGTGTGTGTGAGTAGGGTCGACCCTTCAGCCAGCCGCTTTCCGTCAACAATCACACTATAGTTTTACTCTGACGTAACCTTCTAAGATTTTGTGATTTTTTTAAGTTATAGCACTCATTTTTTTTAGTTTTACTATATACATCCTTTGTGAATGATTTTAATTATTTAGTTTATAATTTTTTGTTTATGTTAGTTTAATGACGCTATTCAAGACATATTGTCTAAACTTTGTGAATAAAGAACATTTAATTGATTGATTGAACCAATAGCGGAACTGTACTGTCAACACTAGACAGACGAAACAATGATTTACACAATACGATTCCCAATCGATGCTAGGTTAAGTTCCTCCAACCTCCAAACTCGAGGTTATATTGAAATCATCTAACACAGTCATAGAGACACCATCATCGTTTTCTGCGATAACTGAAAAATCCTGAATATCTCACTCAGTAACAGAAACATCACCACTGTCTTCCAAGGTCGTGAAAAAATTCTAATATTCTTCAGTGGTAACGGAAACATTATAATTGTCTCCCGCGATCACAGTAAAGTTATCATAATCTTCCTTGATAGTAGCTTAATACAAATAATTTCCCGCAGTATTTTTGGACATCATCGTCGTCTCCTGCGGTCACGAAATCGTCATCATCGTCTCCCGCAGTCACGGAGATATCATTGTTGTCTCCCGTGGTCACGGAAACGCCATCGTCGTCTCCCGCGTCACGGAAACGTCGTCATCGTCTCCCGCGGTTAAAGAAACGTCATCGTCGTCTCCCACGGTCACGGAAACGTCATTGTCCGCATGCGCAATCGTGGCAAAACCACTAACATATCCCACGGCAGTTGGACATCATCATTGTTTCACGCCGTCACAGAAACGTCATCGTCGTCTCACGCGGTCACAAAAACATCATCGTCATGTCCCGCGGGCACGGAAGTGTCATCGTTGTCTCCCGCGGTCACGAAAACGTCATCATCGTCTCCCGCGGTCACGGAGATATCATCGTTGTCTCCCGTGGTCACGGAAACGCCATCGTCGTCTCCTGCGGTCACGGAAACGCCATCGTCGTCTCCTGCGGTCACGGAAACGTCGTCATCGTCTCCCGCGGTTATGGAAACGTCGTCGTCATGTCCCGCGGTCACGGAAACGTCATCGTCATCTCCCGCGGTCACGGGAACGTCATCATTGTGTTCGGCGTACACAAACGTCATCGTCGTCTCCCGCGGTCACGGAAATATCATCGTTGTCGCCTGTGGTCACGGATACGTTATCATCGTCTCTCACGGTCACGGAAACGTCATCGTCGTCTTTCGCGATTACGGATACGTCATCGTCGTCTCCCACGGTCACGGAAACGTCATCGTCGTCTCCTGCGGTCTCGGGAACGTCATCGTCGTCTCCCGCGGTCACGGGAACGCCATCGTCGTCTCCCGCGGTCACGGGAACGCCATCGTCGTCTCCCGCGGTCACGGGAACGCCATCGTCGTCTCCCGCGGTCGCGGCAAAAAATTCCCGGTTAAATACAAAATTCACGCATAATTCCCGGTTTTCCCGGTCGGTGGACACCCTAATAGGGATAATATTTGAAACAAACCCCGATTTTTGACTAATTCAAAAGTTTTCACAAACTCATTCAAGTTAATCTTGCCCTACACCTACAAGCCAAATGTCAGCAAGTTATCATAGTCTAGTTATCGCGTTCACTCACCTAACAACTACAGCAACACATTCAAGCCTGGACGTAATGTATGCATTGGTTACTTCTGGAGTGTAAGTTTCCAGCAGATGAGGCTCTGTTGCCTTGACATAAGGAACAGAGGCTACCATTCTCTGCCATAGACTCAGTAGGTAGTGTACACTGTTGGGAGCGAACTGCCACATCTGTCACAAACACAACTGATTACTATATAATTCACGACCCACTGGTTATTCATGAGTCAATATCCATCTTGTAGAGCGGTCCAGAAACTCAAGATTGTTAAATAGCTTAGTATATTATACAACAAGGCCGGGAAGTAACGTTTATGGTACAAGCATGTCAGTTCCACAACTTCATGTGTGTACTGTAAATAACAACCCAGATGAGTTGCGTACGTTACTTTTTGCCACACTTGCAGCTAAAAGTACAAGGAATAAGTCAAGCACAACCCATAAAATCACAGCAAACTATTTTAACATAACATTTAAACAGAATTAATCGGCAACTGTTTTTAAAAATTAAGGTTTTTTTTAACCTTTCCAATTTAGTTATTTGTGAAAGTTCAATGTGCCTAGTAATACCCATCTAATATTTGTTTCATGCTTTATAAGAGCCTTCTGAAGAAACTTGGTATTATGCCTTTATAAAAAGTAGTCATTTGCACAAGAAAGTGATCGTTAAATTTACTGTACTCCAGCTGACTTTAACAACTAGGCTAGTCCATTTCTGTAAACAATTACTTTCTGGTCTACAAAGAATATAGTAACAAGCTAGCCTACTTACTGTGTACTAATGTTTGATCATTACCTGTAGACTCTCTACAGTAAACTTAGCGATCAGCTGTATGGCCTCAGGATAGTTGTCCACCATGACCAGTTCACCCAGCTGGTAGTTGCTCTTGAGTCTGGCCAGCAGACGACAGAACTCATGGTAGTTGCTGGGGTCACTGAGACCTTGTGGGTTTTGTAGAATGTGCTTTACACCATTCACCAGATGTGTGAGGAACTTTGCCCGCTCTGTGTTGCTAAACAACGACCTGCGCACTGATGCGATCTGGACCAGACACGACAGCGCCTGCATAACAATTACAACATAAATTTCTAAATATCTAGTATTTTATTTTATTAGTGATTTTCCTGCATAGGGAACAAGCTATTACCGTAGTACTCATAGTAAGACCTGGACCTGGGACCGATTTACTTTTTTGTTTTGAGGTCCCTATAGGAAAAAAACACCATACGTTCAAATTCATATGTATATGTGTCCGTTAGCACGATAACTCGAGCGGAGGATAAGTAAACTGATGTAGTTTGCTTGTTTATAAGCATATTTTGACCAAATTTGGAAAATGCATTTATTTCATACTAAAATGCATATTAACATTTTACAAAAGACACTTTAACTCTTCCTGTTGCAGCAAACCTAAGTACTAATTACATTACTGCAGAATGCTATCTAAATAAGGAATAAATGTAATATTTTTAGGGAGGTATTTTAGTGTAAATCCAATCAAGCAAATGGAAATTGGCTAAGTCTGCAGGTTTGCTGCAGCGAGGGTATTATATTTTATTTACTTGATTCTTTAACATTGCTCATACACTATATATATAGGCTTCACCAATTTTCTACGACCCTACAACTTTCCAAGCCGCAAATATTTCAATCAACATTTTTATCAATGGAATTTATCCAATGGACATCACCAAGACATTTTTAAACTCTAGCATGGATTGGATGGTATTCAAGTTGATTTACAAATAGGATATAAATAATTATTAAGTTTGAACAAATGAATACAAAAAAACTGGATATAGAGCCCTCACACTTCATATTTTGACTTTTTAAAACTAAACCTTTACTTAACTAAGAAAAGGTCTCTTCTACCTTAATGTTCATACCAAGTTTCATCAAAATCTGTTGGAACATTCCAAAGATAAAAATTGTTATATGAAAAATACAAAATGGCAGATATTTGGTTAACAAAGTGATTTTGGAAAAAGTTTTATTCTTGTTTTTCTCCTTATTTTGACCCAAGGAATCACTACGTAAATTATGTCCCTACCTTTTTGAACAACCTGTATAAGAGAAAAATATCTAGCATAAGTCTTATTGGTCAAAAAGTTTGGAAAAACCATTACTGAATGTATGTAGGATGTTAGATCACAATATTTATTCAAATTAATAATGAGATACTTACCAATGGAGAAAGACTGTTAGGCAATGAGTGATAAAGGTCAAAGAACAGTTTCAAAGTAGAATAATCGAGGAAAGCTGGTCTCCAGCTGGTGGGTATCTGTACAGTGCAGAGGTCATCCGATGACTCGTCAGTGGAGGTTCCGATGAAGTCAAACGTTAAACAGTTATAGGCCAGCCTCAACAACTGGGTCATCAGTCCATGCTGCAAACAAATCACACTGAAGTAACTTAAATGATTGTTGTATGATAGCATACTGATCAGAATGAAAAACAGTCCAAGAGTGCAAGAAAAACATAATTTAAGTTAAGACCATGAACACTACAATTATAAAGTTTATTGTTCCAGGATATTTGATTTCCATTCCAACAACACTCCTCAAAACCTAGGCCCTGGATTACACTACAAACATCTTGTAATTGAAAGTTAGTTAAAGCAACAAATCCCTTAGGATCAAATTACTGAATGACATGTCTTGTCCCATACTTAAGTTAGCTGCAATTAGTAAATTAATGTGTATTAAGAAGAGACTTAACTGCACAGAGGAAAAGCTTTTCTTTGTGATTGGCAAAAGTAGTCAGTCACAATGAAGTATTCCAATTGTGTGTGTGTGCTTCCTAATTGAAAAGACAAAACCTAGAAACCTTTTCCAAGAATGCCTAAATGTGGATAAAATATTTAATGCTAATAACTTTTTGACTAAAACTGTTTTAAATGTTGACTACACTACCAGACTTACCTGTGATTCGTCACTGAAATTCAGGCTCTTGCAGTTTTCGCTAGCTGTGCCTAGCAGAGAACAAGAAAGCCTGAAAATCTCAAAAAGCTGTGTGTCTCTAAATGACGAAGCTATTTTTCTGTGTTTTGTCAAGGAACGATTTGCATCAGCTTCTGAGATCTGATTCATTTCACACGTGAGATGAGATAAAAGTTGAACACCTATCATGCAGTGTTCAACGGACCCCTGAAACAAGGGTAGCTTTGTGTCAACATATTTGCTAATACTAACTTATTTCGCTGAAAGCATTAGTAATCACAATTATCTATTTTCAAACACATATTTGGTATTTTCCTCTAAATGCTCTTGTTGGTTTTTAAATCATTATAGGCCCTAGCTAATATTTTTGTATTTTTTACAACAGCCAATTGAAATATCACTAACCCTTCCCGGACAAATGACTTTTATGACCTAGGACAAGTAAAATTTACAACAAATTTATTTCATTATTTGTGTTTTTTTATACCATATACATCAAATAAACGCAATAGAACAGCTCATACTATCTTACAATTTTAAACTTGTTTTTATGCACAGAAAAAATGATGCAGATATATCCGCCATCCGTCCACGGAGTCAACAACAAAGTCAACCTGGTGTTGTGTGTTCAACATCGTCGGGGTGGGGAAAGCGCAGGAGGGCGCGGCATGTCGCTTTCAAGGTCGTAGCGCTTGTGGAGAGCGCGGGTGATTAGCGTCGTGGTAGCCTGAGACATCTGGGTACTGCAAAAACACCAGCCAGACTGTCTGATGATAAGGCGGATATATCCGTTTCCCGTCCGGATAATAACAACCCATATGCGGATATATCCACCACCTGTCCTTTATCGCCAAAGACTAATGTGGATATATCCCTCACCCGTCCCGAAAGGGTTAACAATAAAAACTACGGTAATAATGTATGATCTGATGTAGGGCAAATGAGGGTAAAGAGATTATAATAGATAATAATATTGGACTCAGTGTATGCATCTTTTATGTCCCAATAACTGTCTTAGAAACAGCTTAGTCTTAGCTAAAAGAGCTGAATGAATGATGAACATTCTGACAAATACATACCTGTAGGAACTTTGTAACATCTGATATGACATTTCTGAAAACAAACTCTTCTTTGTCACTATCAAACCATCCAAGCTTAGAGATTCTAGCGAACAACGTGACAAGAGCTTGAATGACAAAATTTGGTAGCTTTGGTCTTGTTGCTAAATAGTTTAAAATATAGTTCCCTGAAACAAAACAATACAAGTTACATGAGTTGTAATAACATCATTAAACACAAATCTATTGCTGTGTCTATACAAGTCTACACACTGAAAAAATATAATCAAATAGGCCTATATATAAAATTCAGAGTATAGCCTTAGGCACCCGCCCTGCCATTTTTGTAGGTTTAAAAGTGCAGCCACACAGAACCCGAGAACCCAACATCTTGAGAAACCCCGTGCTTGGTTAAAAACACAGAAACAAATTTACTATAATCTGATATCAAAAACGCGAACTATCTTTTTTTTACATTTGGCGGATTTGCCGAGGCTTTGTCGTAACGGAACTGAAAAGCGTTATTTTAATAACACGATGTTCGCCGCAACAGGCTAGCCTGACAAGAGTTGTCGAGTGGCAACCTTGATCATATTTTGTTGTTAAGCCTATACAACTTAAATCTTCCGGTTTTACTTACTAATATCGACTCTCTGCTGGAGACTCAAAGACTGCGCGCTTCGGGAGATGAGTTTGGTGAGTGTGGTGGCGGCTAGCAGCTGAGCGTAGCAAGAGTCTCCGCGATCCAGTAACAGCTGACACTTGGACAGAGTGTCTGGGGCGTTCTGGAACACCACCAAAGCCTTCTCTGCCTGAACACGCACGGCCGGGTCTGTGGCCTCATACAGCTGCTTGCACAACAGCTCTAGCTGCCGAACCTCCTGCACAGCAAGTAAACGTCACATCTACATTTAACTCACTTGGACTGGGTTGTACAATTTCTAAATATAAAATCACTTTCTGACAATAAAAACCTATATGAAAGGGTATCCTATGAAGTGGTTTAGACATTTGATTTAATATGCTAGCACATTTACGCATAAACTTTGAAAATTAAGGCCCTAGTAGCTTAGCCATTAGCCTAATTAGTAACTAAATGGATAAGCGTCTAGGCAGCCAGTGCAACTCCGAGGATTGTGGATCAGATCCAACACCCCCCCCCCCTCCGTGCCGATGGCGTGACGTCAAACATAACCGCAACGATACGGGGCTGAGTCATGGGCCTTGGTGGTGTAGTGGATAGCATGTCGGGCTGATAATCCGCACTAACTTTATGGCAACAATTTTTTTCATATCAGCAAGTTTGGTTGGTTTGGTTAGGTTATGACAGTTTAATTATATTAAATTTAAATTTAACCAACAAACTATACATATTGACAGCGACAGTGATAGATAACAATTTTCCGCGAACAGTTAGGCTATGCTGATGCGCCGGTATGATTCCGAAGCGTACAACATAGTGCTGTGGTGAGGGGTGTACTGATCCACGATCCTCGGAGCTGCACTGGATGCCTAGACGCTTGTACTAAATGGGTGTTAGTAATATAAAGTCAAATTTTAAAGTAAAGGTAAAGGCTAGGTTATAATGAACCTAAACTTAACCTTCCTAATCTGACCTAGGCCTAATTTCAAATGCTTAACCCAATACAGGCACGAATCAGCATAAAACCAGGCTTAGCTTCCTCCCATGTATACATAAGAACTGATTTAGATTAGTCTGCAAAGGATTTGTAAAAAATAAATCAATTCCATTGTGCATGGAGTCAGGTGTAGTAAGTTTGTTTGTTTTTCATCGTATAAAAAGAGCTGTTTGCTCTCCACATACAGACTCATTAAAACCGCCATTTTACCATCCGAACCACTCAACCGACCGAAAATTAGTAATCTTTGATTTTTATGTTTTTCAGAGACTTGGGACTCCTTCCAAAAAAAAATGTATGGTATTACATTTTTGGATTCAGCGGGTAATTAAACAGAAACTTGACCCTCCAAATGGCAATGGGCAAACTCTGTAGTGACAAGGCATTTTTGACGATTTTGCAGTCATTTTGAAAATTCATAAAAAATAAACCAACAGAGCAAACCTATTGAACCATATACGGTACTTGAATTGTTCATAATAAAATAAAAAAGGCAACAGAATAAATATTTAAGACAGTATGTATTGACATTAGGTAGAAAACATAAAGAAACTTGTATTTATAATTTTGAAATTTTCAAAAAGCAAAACTTAGTTGCATGAACAAAAAATTCTTTATATGAAATTCAAGATAGGCTTATACAAAATGTTTGGAATTTATATCTCTACATGGAAATATAAAAAGATTTCAATTACCCTTTCGTTTTAGAAAGTTATAAACTAAAAACAAAACAAAAAATGGCAAATTTCAAGATTTTGCTCTACAAATTAAAAATACCCCCGCCTCAGCAAACCTGCAGACTAAGGGCATTTCAACTTGTCTAAATACTTTTTTACTAAAATATTTCTATAAATAAGACATATTTATTCCCAATTTAAATAGCATTAGATTGAACGAGTGTCTAGGTTTGCTGCTACGGGGAAGGTAAAAAGTGTTTTTTGACGATACGTCAATAGTATAGGATGAAGTAAATAAATTTGCCAAATTGTATCAATATATATCCATAAACAAGTAAACTACAACAGTTTTCATTTTCTCCATAAGAATAACATGGGAATTTTAAATTACCGGTACACTATTATTGAATTTTCTCCGTGACCGTTAGGCACACAAGAGCGCTTCACTATACTAAATTATTTCTTTTTTTAAGCTCTTCAAAACAGTTTAAAAAGAAATTGCTAATTTTTTTGTTTTTAGGGTCATAAATAGGAAAACCCCATTTTTACCCCATAAAACCCCGTTCCCATGGTCCGATTATGCTGGTTCGCGAACTCGTTCGAATAAACGTAGGTTTACACGTTTGTTCCAAATTTCATCAAAATCGGATCATTTTTGCTTGAGTTATCGCGCTAACGGACACACATATATAAATATATTAATAAATGAAATAAATAATTAAACATTTAGTACCGTACCCTGTAACTTATTAATTTATTGAATAAACTTACATGTTTCGGCTCTTACGCCATGATCGCAGTTATGAACAAATATAGTATATATATATATGAATTTGAAGGGATGGTGTTTTTGGTGTCTAGGGACCTCAAAACAAAAAATTAAATCGGTCCCGGGTCCAGGTCTTACCATGAGTACTACGGTAATAGCTTATTCCCTATATGGGAAAACCGCTAATAAAATAAAATAGGCAACTAGATATTTAGAGATTTATGTTGCCAAAAAGTACATATTTTTGTAAAGGCAATAAGTTAATACTAGGGTACATGTTACTCGAATTCGAGCAATTGCAAAGTATTACAGGAGTTATTTCAAAACGAATAACAGTCATATTTACAATTAATTTAAAAGAGCCAACTCAAAGATTACTGGTGTGTAACTGTCTGAGAACATGTTTATCTTCGTTATTGATAAACCTAAAGCATTCCGGCCGGTTATCTCCTTCTCGAAATGCCTCGCTGTACAGGCAACACAGGTCATTAATAGAGGGCCAATTGAGAACGAAAAGTCGTTATGGAGTAGAGTTAGGGCGCATTTGTAACCTAATAGTTGAGATTGTCCAGGGTCAGGTGCTGACTGTGATGAGTCACAGCCTAATACAGTCTGTAGCTGCGGTCGTTATCACGATTACACCTACTGTCTATGTTTCGTTGTCGTCACGTCGGAGGAATTTAAAAGAAAAAACAATTTCAACAATTTTCAATCACGTAAACCTCAAATACCAACTACATAAAATGAAAGTAAATTTATTCCCCTAAATGAATATGTATGGTTATAAAGGCAAATATAAATAAATAAATATTTTATAGTGTTTTATATAAAATGCTGCTGCGCCTTTTTCATGGGGCGATCAAATTGTTTGTTCAATATGACAAAATGTTTCAAAAACGGGCTAAATGAAATGTCCAAACCTCAAATTTAAACTTAGTAAGTCTATGCACAAGAAACTGCTTGAAAACTAAATATGTACAAATTTACAACTAATAATGATTCAAAGTGATAAAGTACAGTCACACCCGCGATATTCGTTGTTGGTAAATCTATATATATAAAATCCAATGTATGTTTGTATATTTGTATGTTTGTCCTTTATGGACTCCAAAACCGCTCGACAGATTGTAATGAAACTTTTAGGCATTATTAAGCATTATTCAAGGATGGTTTGTGTGAAGTTTGGTGCAGATCCCTCAATAGGGCTCCGCCCCAGTGGCTCTGGAGTTTCCCATGTTAACCTTATGAGTACTCATATTTAAATGGAATTAAAGAATCTTAACAGCTGGTGCAGCTAAACAATTTGATTCTGTGATGTTCAATAGCATTAAAAAGTTAATAGGTTTACAAACAGGGTGCAGCACTATATTTTTTTTTAATTTATGAGAACAGCTAATTTGCAACCAAAAGGTGAGTGAGCGTAGCGAACGAACTTCAACCTGGAGGCGAGTTAGCGTAGCGAACGAGCTAACCTGAAGGCAAGTGAGCGCAACGAACGAGCTTCAACCTAAAGGTAAGTGAGCGTAGCGAACGAACTTCAACCAGGACGTGATTGAGCCATGCGAACGAGCTCATCTTGAAAATGAACGAGCATGTGACATAAAACCACAATAGGACAGGACGACGTCTGTCGTTCCAGCTAGTAGTCTATAAAATTCACAAAAACCAGCTAAAAATAATGTCTTAATTTTCTAAAAGTAATGTCACATTTCACTCAACGCACATTAAATAATATCCAAACCAAGAATTTACAAATTTACAATTTATAATCACGATGCAAACTGATGAAATCACATCAAAACTCGACTTGTTAGTGGTTGCTCAACAGAGATTTAGGTTATTTAATCGGACAAAATATTCGTGAAAAATAACAGCTGATAACTTAAAAGCAGAGTGGTGCAATCTTAAACAATTAAATACCACAATGCGTAGAATTTCATGGACTTTTGAATGAGATACTTTATCATATGGATAATTAAACTCATATTTTTCAGTGGATAAAACGTGTTTTACGACTGCGACTATTATAGTCATTCTACCACTTCAAGAAAATGTAAAAATTGGTTGATTTTTTTTGTGAGATCATGACTTGACTTGACTTATTTCCGTGAGTTCCAAGGTGGAACATAGGGCCTCGACGAAATCTCGCCACCCGTCTCGATCCTCAGCAAGTGCCTTGGCCTGTCTCCACGTCATCTGTCTTCTTGCTAGGTCTCTCTTTCTATGGTTCTCCTCCATGTTGTTTTTGGCCTGCCCCGCTTTCTGTTTCCCAGCGGATTCCAGTCTAGTGCCTGTCTTGCTATACAGCTCTGCGGCCTTCTCAACGTATGGCCAATCCATCTCCACCTTCTTCTGGTGATAATCTTTTTTATTGGTTCTTGCTTGGTTATCATCCAAAGATCTTCGTTTCTTATCACATTAGGCCACCAGATTTTTAAAATGTACCGCAGGCACCTATTGACATATGCTTGTAGGCTTTGCGCTTCTGTGTTGTTAATCTTCCAGGTCTCACAGCCATATAGCAAGACAGACATGACATTGGAGTTGAACAGTCTTAATTTTGTCTTTCACAGAATCTGCCTTGATGTCCACACAGGGCGTAGTTGGGCAAACGCTCTCTTGGCCTTCCTAATTCTGCTTTTGATACCTAGGTCTGTTCCTCCATCCAGTCCTACCATGCTACCAAGGTAACAAAACTCAGTTACGCTCTCAATGTCTTTGTTGTGTAGCTGCACGACTTGATTGTTACGTGCATTTATACACATTTCCATAGTCTTCCTTCCATTTATTTTAAG